TTATACTGGTTGTGGAGAGAAAGAAATGGTAGAATATTTCAAAAGAAGCAAAGGATACCGGAAAGTATTGTTCAACAAGTCATACAAGAGGTTCATGGAAGGGGATCCCAGCAACCTAGATTAGCTAGTAGGCTTCAAGAACTCAATGTATATCCCTTAATTATAAGAGTATTAGGTAGATAGGGATGGTTTATGTTTGTGCTTCAGCAAGACTTGGGACTGCATGTCCAAGTTTGGCTGGTTTTTTTCTATTAAGCTCTTTGGTAAATAAAATAATTTTACTTACCAAAAAAAAAAAAACTACTAAAATACAAAGAGAAAATGGCCAACCCCCCCCCCCCCCCCAATCTATACCCGAATTCTCAACTACCCACTCATACTTCACGGGGGTCCTATTACCCCCTTGGACTATTTTAAAGTGGAATTATTTGCTTCCTAAATGTTGATGTGACAAAGAAGGTGTAGTTCACTCTCTTTGGGAGAGTGAGAGATAAAAAATAATTAAAATATTAACTTTATAAATATTTAGTTTATTTCATATTAATATTCTATTTATTTTAAAAAATAAATAAATTATGTTTCCTTTTATTTTTTTACCTTTGTTTATCTTTTCCCTTTAATCTTCATCAGATCCAGACACCAGTGATGGCTCACTTCAACCACCAGGTCACCACCCTCATCAACTTTTCATCACTAAGTCAATTCTCATATTCAAATCACATATTTTTCATCATATCTCCACATTTCATCACTTTGAAAATTTGTTGGTAGCTCAAAATCAAAATTGAAAGTTGGAAGAATCGAACTTTAGACTAGTCATTAATGGAGGAGTTTTCTAAGTAATAGATTCAATTAATGGAGAAGAATTCTTTAAAGAAATCATTGGGTAACAAATCATTTGATGAAGAAGACTCATTTATTCAAATTGTTGTAAACATCAATTGAGTTTCTCATATCAACATTGTTAAATCTAAATCAATACTAGTCTCTCCACTAGTCTGATACCTTTATTTCGGCAAGCAAGTATAATTTTGATGAAGGTCGAAGAGCGGTAGTCGTCAAATCTTCAGAAGCCTTCAAAGAAAAAGAAATGGAGGAATGGAAAAGAAAGAGAAAAGGAGAAGATAGAAAATATAACACAAAAAAATTTAAATATAAAAGAATAATTATTATTTTTATATAAAAAAGGGGTAATATTACGTGACAGCGTGTGTTGACTACTACCTAGCTAATACAAACTTGGACTTGAGTTTGTAGAGGGTTAAATATTTCACTTTTAAAAGGTTAGGGAGTGAAAGGATCCCCATAAAGAATAAGTGTGTAGTTGAGAATTCGATAATAGTTTGGGGATGCTTTTGGCCATTTTTCTCAAATACAAATTGACTAAAGAAGCACACACATGCACACATATAACCCCAAGTGATATCCAGTCACTTATAAAACATAAAATTTTGTGTCCAAATACTTCAAATAAGTAGTCCATAATATTGAGTTGTTAATCTAACTATAACCTCACACATAAATATGTCACCCACAATATCAAATTCATCTTTATCTTCTTGTATTTTATTTTAAAAGGAGAGCTCATACAAACATAGCACCACCCCACCCACACATGCACGACTGAATAACAAATTTAAATTGAATAACAAATTCAAAGTAGCTAATCAACAAATTAGCAAAAAAATCACAAAACGTATGTAACAATATGATATGAGTTACATTTCATACTAAGATCGAATATATATTTAATACCATAACATAAATCATAACAAAATAAGGATGAAGTTACATTTCAAACAAAAATTGACATCTACATTTTAAATCATAATATAAATTCTAATAAAATCTAAGTATAACACTAACAAAAAAAACAAAATAAATAAAAGAAAAAACTAATTTTTCCTCTTTTATTTTAAAGATTATTCTAAGATAGCCTTTGAACTTGACCACAATTTCTTGATTGACTATGATTAGTGTAATGACCTGGTAGGTCATTTTTGAAAAGTTTCGTGAGTTTACCATTTTTCCCTTCTATGATTGAGTTTAGAAAAGTTAGTTTTGAACTTTGAGTTAAAAGTTGCGAATTTGGTAAGTTTTGAGTTTGAAAGGCTAAGTTGTTAAGAAAGTGGTTTTGGGTGTCATTCGGGGTTTGGATGCTCGGATCGAAATTTCAAGAGTTCCGTTGGATTCAAGGAATAATTTTAGGCATATGTAAGGTCCTGGTTAATTTTTGAGAGGTCCCGAGCTTGTTTTAGCCTTTCAAGCGTTGAGTTAGTTTCTTGTGGCTTTCACGGATGTCGGGTCATAGAGACCTCAGATTCATATTTTGACTGTTCCATTGAGTCCAAAACTTCGAGTATATTTGATTTTCATATGTGGTTTGTGTTCATGGGATTCCAAATGAATTCTGAGGATCGATGTTTGGAGAGTTGGCTTTGTTTTCTAAAGGTTGCAGGCCTCGCTTTTGCGAAGGTCATGTCACTTAAGCGAAGGACTTGTCGCTTAAGCGGCCTTCATTTAGAGAAGGTCGTTCACTTTTGCGATGCTTGAGAATTTTGCGGGGTTCGCTCAATTGCGAGACCTTAGAGAGTTTTGACCTGCCATTTTCGGGGTTTAAGCCTCACTTTCCATTTTTGAGCTTGGGGAACCCTGGTGGCAATTTTGGAAAGGTTTTCTTGCGCTAAATCATTTGGGTAAGCTTCTATAATCCTAAACCTTCATTTCCATTTGATTTTTATGAGTTTAAACATCAAAGTATGAGATTTTGATTGGTGAATGATGATTTTTTTAAGGACTCAAGTTCTTAGCTAAAATGGAGATTTTGAACTGATTTTAAGTACTTTTTGTTATATGATTTTCCCCAATGAATTTCTAGAGCCATGAGTAATGTTTTCAAGTGTTAAATTTTGGATTCAAACCTTACTTTCGGAATTGAATTTTGTGTTGATTGACTCACTTCTTAAGAGATTTGATGTGGGTATTGTTGTTTCTGGAAATTTATTGTGAATACTTGCTTGTGTATAGATTGTGTGGCTTTGGCAGTGATTTGGAAGGGAAATACTCAACTTTTGGAGTGACTATTGATTGATTTAAGGCAAGTGATCTACTAAACCTTGTATTCTAGTAGGATTCGTGTACTTTCTTCGTTGCTTGTGTGTTGGAGTAATGGAGATGAGGTGAGGGGTTTAATTGTCCACTTGATACATCTTAATGAATAAAGAGGGGTTGAAATGAAAAAGACTATGTGATGAACATGATGATGTGAATTACCTTATTGTGACCCTTGTTGTTTGATTGATGAAATGTTTGAAATCATAAATGTGGACTTGAATTGTGTGAATTGTGATATTGCTTATGTGCATTGACTGTGAACAGCGTGATGAGACATGTGATGATCTATGATGCCGAGATCTTTTCTGGCGAGTGTTGTGATGTCGAGGTCTTTGCCGGCGAGTGTTGTGATGCCGAGGTCATTTTCGGCAAGTGTTTATAAAGTCGGTGAGAAATGGTTCTGGCTAGTGACTTGATATACAACCGATGGGAAATGGTTCCGACTAGTGATTTGATATAAAGCCGGTGGGAAATGGTTTCAGCAAGTGATTTGCTATAAAGTCGATGGGAAATGGTTCCGGCCAATGATATTGTGCCGATGAGAAATGATTCCGGCAAGAGATTGATTATTGTGACTTACTTGTTACTTAAGATTGATGTACTTGTTGTGTGTGATTGAACTACTTGATATTGATGTTGACTTACTTGATTCGTGTGATTATTGTTTATGACTAGTAAACTGTGGATATTGGGCCTTGTGAGCTGTGTTTAATAGAATTGCTAGGTTGGGTGGATTTATGTGCAGGTTGTAGTTTGAGGAGGTTCGGTTAATGTGTAAGGAGTATTCAATTTCTAGCTAGATGTCTTGTTTATTAGGTTGCGTGCTGAGTGTCGTGTTCTTGGTACTCACCCATTGCTTCTACACTTGTGTAGGTTCCGAGTTCGGCCCTGTGTGATCTTCTTCTACTTCTCTTGACATTCGAGGCTCGTTGAAGGACTTGAGAGGTAGCTGCTTGTCATCTTGACGAACCCTGTTTTTCTTTTATCATGCTTTGTTCTACTTGAAAAGCAAAGACATTTACGACTTGTATTTATCTTTTGAATTTTGTATTTTCATTAGTGACTTGTACATGTGACAACTAGATTTTGGGGGTTTTAATAGAATGAATACGTTTTTCTCCTTTGTCTTGTTCTTGCTTTACTGTATTCCGCATTTCTTTCATTTTTGTTGGATTGATGCTGACTTGTCTTGATGAGAATAAACAAGTGTCATCACGTCCATTTTTGGATCGTAACAATTAGAATAAATCTTGAATAAAATCGAACACTAAGTATCAAAATATGATACACAAAATAGAAAAATAGATTTTGAATCTACACGTTTGAATTTCTAAAAACTAAATTTGAAGAACAATAATGTTTCAACACTCTCTTTTGGTAAAATTAGAAGTTGTTAGATTTTTAAGAAAGTAAAAAGAAGTTATACAATTAGCAAAATAAGTGCAAGGAATTCAAAAAATAAGTTTGGAAATAACAAGACATAGTTAAGTTAAAATATGTCGCTCGCATTTTCATTCATAATTAAAGTATCTCACTATAATATGCAACACTTTTTTATTTTTCCTCGCACGCTATTTTCACGGACAAAGTGGCTAAAACTTTGAACCAACGAGAAGTCATTGTCACCCCCAATTTGTTATCCAAGTTACCACACATGGTTGATCAGATTTCTCATTCTGATTTGACTCCATGAAACAAGATTTAACAGAAAGAGACGCGAGGAAGAGCAGAGTAATGTGATATAGGAGGTGAGCAAAAGTATAACTGTGTTTATTTGAGCTCACATGGAGGCAAGATCCTAAATTTATGAAGAAAACCCATATTTTACCCTTTAATTTGCTTCAAACCATCGATCGATTCATTGACCCGAATTTGACGGGCTGGAGATGGCACCGCAACAGCAGCAGGTGGAGGAAGATGAACATGTGTACACACTGGATGAAGCTCTTACAACTCTGGGTTTTGGCAAATTCCAGTATTTGGTGTTGGGTTATGCGGGTCTTGGATCAATGGTGGATGCTGTTGAAGTTATGATTCTTTCTTTTATTGGACCAGCTGTTAAGTCTCAATGGGGGCTTTCTTCTACACAAGAAACTCTTATTACTACTGTTGTGTTTGCTGGCATGCTTATTGGAGCTTACTTTTGGGGCATTCTTGCTGACAACTATGGAAGAAGGCAAGCCTATTTTCCCTTTTTAGTATTTACTGAAAAAGTTTATGTTTGTGTTTCTCTTTTTCAAATTGGGTGACTAGTGAATAACCATATTTGAGTCTGTAGATTGCTTAATTGTTGTTTGGTTTAAGTTGTCATGGATGATTATACACTTTCATTTTCCATCACCAGGAAAAGTCTTCTGATTGTGGCAATAGTGACAACCGTATCTGCATTTCTGAGTTCCTTTTCTCCAAACTATATATCACTGCTCATTCTTCGTATGCTGGTTGGAACTGGTCTGGGTGGTGGGCCTGTATATGGATCTTGGTTTCTAGAATTCGTGCCTTCTCGAAATAGGGGCATGTGGATGGTTATCTATTCAACTTTTTGGACAATTGGAACAATACTTGAGGCTTTATTGGCTATGGTACATCCTTTGCTTGTGTATTTACCTTACAAAAAAAAAGTGGAAACTGGTACATCCTTTAGCTGTTCTTATGTACTGCCTATCTATTGTGAAGTCGTTCTCCTCTTATCGGGATTTTAACAAGATATGATTTGTGAATAAAATAAGAATTAGAAGACACTGTAACGTGTGTTTTTCTATATCTAATTCCTGTTTATTACATGCTACTATGTTGGACTATATACACATAGATATTTACATACATAGGAGTCCATTTGGCTGCTTGATAATTGTGTTCTACAAGGATTGTATATGTAACAATCCTTCCAGCTCTCATACACGTACAGGTTAATTGTTAGGTTTAGACTAGAGAATTGCTAATTAACTTGGTTGTCTTACATCCCCTCTCAAGCTGGTGGTGGGATGAGCAGCAACACCCAGCTTGGCTCGAAGTAGCTGACACTGATGTTTGGGCAGTGGTTTGGTAGAAAAATCTTGGCAATGTGCTGATGCAACGGAGCAAACTTGGTCACAATAGCTCCCCAGATAACTTTCTCGTGGAGAAAATGATAATCAAGCTCGACATGCTCCATATGAGTGTGCAACACTGGATTAGCTGATACATGCAAGGCACTAATGTTGTCTGTGAACAACATGGAAGGTTGAGGCAGGGAAATGCCAATGTCTCACAATAAGTAACTGATCCAAGTTAGGTCGGCAGCTAAAGAGACCAACGAGCGATATTCAGCTTTGGCGCTTGACTTGGCGACAGTGTGTTGCTTCTTTGATAACCAGAGAAAACACAAATGCCAGTAGTAGAGTGCCTAGTGATGGGACAACCTGCCCAATCTGCATCAGAGAAGCCGACCAAGTTAAGAGAGGATTGAGCAAAAATGTGCAGGTTTAGGTGTGAAGTTCCAACAATGTAGTGAAGTACATGTTTGATCCCAGCCCAACGAACCTCAGTAAGATGCTGCGTGAATGGCAAAACAAGTTCACTGCATGGGAGATTCTGGTCCAGTTAATGTGAGGTACTGAAGTGCACCAACAACGCTGTGATAGTCGTAGGGATCAACTGGAGTACCACCCAAGCCATGAAGCTGATGCTTTTTAAAGGAGTGGGATGAGCCCGAGAAGCTACCATATTTGTGCGTTGAAGTATGGAAGTAGCATACTTTTGCTGACTCAGAAAAAGGCCATCCTTGTCATGATGAAGTGAACTGCAGGCCAAGGGAAAAAAAATCAAGGGGCCCGAAGTCTTTCATTGCAAAATGTGATTGTAGCTTGCAAATAAGAGCAGACAACATGAAGGAGTTACTGCCATCAAAAATAATGTCATTCCTGTAGAGGAGGAGCAAGATTTTACCTTCAAACGAATGAAGAACAAATTGTGAAAATATGCTTTGCTGCAAAAGAAGACAAGATATAATAGATACGAGCTGAACTTGTGCTCAGATGAGCTTCAATTAGGATGGAATAGCAAGTCTTAGGATCCATCTTGTTACTTTCCACTATATATACATACAGACTTCCACAATGACTAAAAACCTATCATCTGTATGTGGCAGATTCCTTCACGTATAGACAATGTTTTTAGATTAAGAAATATCTCAGTAACGACTCTCAAATGCATGTAGGAAAACGTTTATACGTGAATAAGATCCAATTTGTGCATAATAAAGTGAATATTACACTTTTCCAAAGTATAAAGTGGAAAGAATAACTATCTCTCTTTTAATAAGTGAAATAGGAATAGGATGATCGTGTAACTCATCTAATACTCTGCGGAAGTCAATGGAAGCTAAACAGATAATAACAGAGGAAAAAGGAACAATGTCGAGTCACAAAAAGTCTGCTTTCTGTCCACTGTTAATTTTCATCTTCTTTTAAATATGAATAATTGACACTACGCTTTTGTGGTGCCTCATTGACACTTTGCCACTAATATCCATGGGTCAAGTAAGATTTAAGAGATTTTGGAACCAAGGTATAAGCATCTTCTGAATGGAAATCTTTACTTGCAAAGACGGTCCATATAAAACAATAACTTGTCCATATCTGTTTGCATTCTTTTGAAGGGTTTGCTTAAACAAATGAGATACACACACACATTTGTATATACAAGGTATATGCATTTCACTTCTTTCATCCTTGATTTATTTGAATTATTTTCTAATAACAGTTCTACTTTTATCTGTATTTCCAGTTCTTCTCTAAAAACTTCTAGTTAAATTGTTCAGTTGTCTCAATAGGACTAACACATATTTATCACCAATGAAGCGCGGTTATTGGCTTCATCGTCTAGACCCCTCCAAAAAAAAAAAGACAGGTCTCAAATCCCAAACAGAACTTAATTCAAAGAAACAACAAGGGGGGTTGAGAAAAGTTTCACCCAGAAAACTTAGAACAATTCTCCTAAATTGGTCTGACTGCCCTAGAATTCGAGGAGCTGAGCCAGAACATAGACGACTGTAAGTGCATAGAAGGTGATGAACCAGATAAGCTGTGCTTGGTCACTTGCTCCCACACATTTTGTGGTTCTGTAGTCTTCAGTAGAGAATGATTAGGTTATACCTAAGAATTGTCTTACTTGATTATTATCACTTCATCGGATATCATTTTCTGTAGTTTTTTATCGTTGACAATTTGTAGCTCTCCCAAATAGTTAGTAATTAATGAGAAAAATGAAAACAAAGAAGAGTCTGTATCTTACCATATTTGTAAATATTGGAAAAACTTATTGCAACTTGCTTGGTATTTCTTGCAGATTATCATGCCAAGACTAGGTTGGAGGTGGTTATTGGCTTTATCGTCTATACCATCATTTGCAGCACTTCTCTTGTACATATTTACAGTAGAGTCTCCTAGATATCTATGTGCCGAAGGTAGAATAAGTGATGCACATGATATTTTGAGGAAAATAGCTGTTGTCAATCAGACAAAACTTCCCCCTGGGATGCTTGTTTCTGATCAAGTGACACAGCTGGATGAGGAAGAGGAATTGCTTAGGCCGAGAGCAAACAAAATCTTCAATTTTAAGACAGGATTGTCTTCATCCCTGATGCTTTTATCCCCACAATTACTACGAATTACCCTCCTCATGTGGGTGGTTTATTTTGGAAATTCATTTGCCTATTATGGCATTATATTGCTGACATCACAGTTCAGTGCTGGGGAAAATCAATGCTTCTCAGTTGCTTTGCATGTGAAAAATGATACAAGCCTCTATACAGACGTGTTCATCACTAGCCTTGCTGGTACTTCTACTTTCATTTTCTTGTGTCAAATTGCGATTCTATTATTTCATCTCAGCTCCCATTTGACTTGATTACAATTTGTAAATCTAAGTTATTCTTTGTCTTTCAGAGCTTCCTGGGCTTCTTATTTCAGCTGTAGTGGTGGAGAAAGTTGGTCGGAAATATTCAATGGCCCTGATGTATATCATGGGGTCCCTTTTCCTTTTTCCACTTGTTGTACCTCAGAATGAGGCATTAACAACAGCATTGCTATTTGGAGCTCGTATCTGGTTCTTAGGGACCTTCACCCTTGCTGGTGTTTATTGTCCAGAGGTGAGTATCACTCTTTACCTTCTTGAAGCACTTCTTTCTTCTCTCTTTCTTAGCTTCATCGTTCTGACTTGTTCAATGTCTTGACATGTCAACTTATTTTGGTCCCTACCAGTCTAAACTTGATAGATATTCCTTGTCTTTCATGTATTCAATTGAACAGAGAATTTTGAACTTCTACCTTTCACATATTAAAAGTTTTGACTTTGTAAGAGTTCTTTCTCCACTGGACTGTGTTTTATTTGGTTGAAGTGGCAAACAACATTTATGTTCATTATTGGGCATCTTAAACTGTTGACTGCATGAATTCTTTATGCCCCCCCCCCCCCCCCCCCCTCTCTCTCTCTCTCTCTTATGCGCATCGACTTGTTTTATATGGGTGCATTGACTTGCAAACCAAATTGATTTTAGGACATTAAGGCTGGCTCCCTTATTTATTGAAGCTGTTGCATGTATTTTTACAGATATTTGATTGTATTAGCATAGAGTTCTAAAGAGAAAACTGAACATGGTTACTAAAGCTGATTAGTTTTAGCAATTTTGTCACAATTTAAGAACCATTTACCTTTTTATATATAAACTATCAATATCATTGTGGATCTTCTTCAGGTAAATACATTGAGTTTTCAGGTTTGTAATGAGGAATAAACGTAGATTAGTCCAATTTCCAAGCATTTTTAGCTTTGAGGTTCTCTTGGCCTGTTCTACCTGTTCTTCTTTGGTCGCTGAGGAACCTTTGATAGGGTGAGAGGATCAAGTTACTCCTGCTATAAGCCTTGTTTGGAGTATGAATATAAAGATGTTAAACATTTAATTTTGACATTTTAGTAAATTCTCGTCTAAAGTTGTAGATTGGAACAAACTGACTCTTCAGACAAAAATACAGCTGGGAGAATTTTATATTAGGAGGCCTAAGTGCCATTTTGATCTATTTTCTGCAGATTTATCCAACCTCAGTGAGATCAACAGGTTGTGGAGTTGCAAGTGCTGTGGGGAGAATTGCAGGGATGGTCTCTCCTATAGTTGCAGTGCAATTGGTTAGAGGTTGCCACCAGATGGCTGCAATCATTTTATTTGAAGTGGTTGTAATTTTATCAGCAATTAGTGTTCTGCTCTTTCCAGTTGAGACCAAGGGGCGTGAACTTGTTGATCATGTCTCTCTGTAGGAAATTGCATACCAATTTTATGTTAATGTGCTCTCCACATTGGAGAGAAATCTATTGAAGATACAGCTCTCTAAGTCATGTTGCAATGGTATGGTAAGTTTCAGCGTTAACGAGTCAAATTTGGTTAATCATGTAAGATCTTATATTATCAATATATATAAGCTAAATCTGTTTGTATTATTAATTGGGAAAACAAATCTCCATCCAAGGAAAGCTACCGTTACTCATCGTAGACTAACTTTGAACCTTCTTTCTCTTTATGACTGAAAAATTCTAGATTAGCTATGGCTAAAATCAGATAATCAAATGGGAACGATAAACGTTCAAAAAGAGAGGTAGGCAGACAACATTTTAAGAAATTATGGAATGGGATATAGGAAAAAGTGGCTACTGGTTAAACTGCATTAACTAGTCAATTTTACCCAAAAGAAAAGAATGGCGAGTATTTTCCTCCAGTTATAATAAGCATGGACTGCATCAGGCAACCTTTGCTATCATCTAAAGGGAGTAAAGTTCACATTGCTATTGTAAATTGTAATCAATGATATCATTTTTTGAGATGTATACAGTATTAAGGCATGCACTGAGCACAATTACAATAGTTATTAGCTACTAACAAGAAAAAATAAGACTTGATGGTCCAGAGCAAAATCTCAGCTGTTATAATACTGGGAGATGAAAATTTACAAAGCAAAGACAGTGCAACACCATATGATTTTGACCTAGCTATTCTACCTATCTTGCCTATGCTCTCTAGTCCAGTGTTGCATAAGAGAGCTCTATTGGCTCAACAGAGTTTCCCACCAGGGGAAATCATACTGAGGAAACTAAGTAACTCGCATTTTCAAGGCACGCCAACCACGAAACTCTCAGTTGATCTTAGGCTTGGCTCTTCTAGGCTTTAGCACAAACCAAAGAACGAAGAAAACAACGAGGAAAGCAGGTATTGTTGTCATGTCAAACTTGACCTTAACTTCTCTTTTACGGGTGCAATGTATTGGATGGAGACTGGCTAGAGTTGTATCAACATAATTTACAAACCTGCATAAGAGGAGACTTTTAGCAAACAAATTTATCAAACACATACGTTAAGTGAAAAGTGAAGAACTTTTGGATGCCAAATGGAAGTTGCTTAATACTTCCAAATGTAGTGAAACACCGTATTCTATTATCTCAAATTGGTTGCACATGTAAAAGCAACCCCAACAATAAGGGTGTCTAGTGATGGTTGTCACAATCAGCCACCTAACAAATGTCAGATGCTAACCCTTTTGATGCATCCTCTAAGGTATAGAGAAGTCTCAAGGCATCCAGATAACGCAGTTCCCCACTGACAGTTGAAATCTGCGAGGGACCCATAACATGGAATAAATTGGTCAGGAATATGTTTCATAAACAGGCTGAATTTAAGACAACAAAAGCCAACACATATCAAACTATTTCTTGCAAACATCATTCTAACTCATGCAGAAAATGCAGATCAATTAGATTGAAATAAGAAACAAATTATTCTACCAAGCTTAAAGTGATAATACACCAAGTGTTATTTATCTGGAAAAAAGATAGTGTAACAAGTGTTTGGCAAAAATATTTGTGTACATAGTACTTAATAAGGATTGGTGAAAACCGTAAAGAACTTACTCTTCTCCACAAGCTAACAACATAGTTGTATTTGTTTACCAACTCGCGCTCGTGGGTTTTAAAGAGCTTAAAAGTCTGTTCTGCTGTTCCAGATTAAGGATCCACAGAGAAAATCTGATAAAAGGTCAATTACCAAACTTATATGAAAAAACATCAGTAACTAATGAAGAAAGTTTGAAACTAGTGATCCACTGTCCAAACCAATGAAAAAGAAGTGCTAAAATCTATTAACCCCAAAGGACCTATTGACCAACCTGAAATTTTAGACAGACATTTCCATATTCAAATATTGAGATAAGTTCCCATGTCATGAGACGGCTAAGACCAAATAAGTATTCGCAATGACAGTCACCATTCAAACAGAGAAATAAATCTTTTATGCAATCTGCTGAAGACAGTTTGCAAAACCTTCTTGGGGAATATATTCAATGAGACAACTCACAAAAGTGACAATTTGTGCAATCAAAACAATCTTTTACTTGTAGTTATGAAAGTAAAACATTCATAAAGGATACATGTCCGCTCCATAACAAGGCGATGAATAGCCGAATTGACCAATTGAATGGACTCTTCAAGTACTGTCAATACATAGCTTCGAGCAACAGTGTCTGAATGGAATTTGGAGATATGCCAGCCTTGGGAAGTGATGGATAGAGGATTGCATCCAACTGACCAAATCCAGTCCTGTTTAAAGTGTAATGAGACGAACAGAGGTGACTTGGAGAAACCAGACTTAAATTACAAGCTTTAATCTCAACATAACACATTAAACCAGACACATGTTACCACTTCTGTCTCAAGGAAAAGTATCAAGTAAAGCATATGCAACACATACAAGAGTATGAAGTGCTCTCTTATTATCTTTATTGCATTTTTATTAATACATTCTTTAAAAGGGGTACCCCGAAATAAAGCAGAAATATTAAATTAATGAAAGTCACATATAAGCTTCAACAGAATTACAAGTAGAAGAAAGCATTCACTAAAATCTATTGATCTCTCACAAGAATGAAACAAATTACTAAAATAATTAGTGTCATAAAAGTGTGACAAACTTCTTAGATCTTAAAACTTGGGTTCCAAGGAAGCAAGAGAGAAAAAAAAAACTCTCTTGAATAGTGTTCTTGTTTTTGGAGAGCTTATCCTACCTCACTACCAAAAGAAATAATTTGTCGAGCGAGAAGAAAAAAAGGTGCAGAGGAGAAGTGCATGAGACGCTCAGGAAGTTAACAATCCCTCAGAAGAAGTTAATTACATGCAAGAAATTAGAAACTTTCAGGTTACAAGTCTATAGACACCTAACATAAAGAAGTTACAAGTCTCTATAGTCAGAGTGAGACCATTGTAAGATTCACATTCATGTCTTCCAATACCTCAATTGCAGTTTCATGGGCTTGACTATAAACAAGATGAAGGGGAAGCATTCCTGCTAGATGTTCTGACACAGCAGTCAAAGCAGCTTTAATAGGCTTCCTGTATAACAGATGAGAAAGCAAATGCCAGATCAGCATTGTCCATTTCCACAATATCTTAGAAAACCATCAAATCCCACTCAACAGAGAGTTCTTTTGAGATGAGAATTCAGGTAAGCTAAAGAAAGAACAACAAACCTGAAATCACATGGAGGGAAGTTGTCCCAAAATTCAAAAGATCAACGGTATCTCTAAATCAACCCGGAATTAACTAAGAACACAATACAAGGAAAGGAAAAGGTCCATACATGTGATCCCATTGGGTATTAAGATTTTATTGCTGTTGTACGCCTATATTAGGTCTAGTATTTTCCACGAGCCTTTTATGTCTAACTAAAGACCGTATGTCAGTGTCAATATAAGTGTGAGAGTCAGGAAATGTAGTCTTAGAGAATACCTAGTTTGCCTTAAAAGAAATTTATTTACTAACATTGGAATGAAATTGACCTGAATGAAGAGGAATTGATAGAGAGGTTCAATTGATCTATTAAGGTCATAGATGAGCTAATTTATAGTAATACGAGTGTCATGAGTAATGCTTCAGTCTTGACATGTGATAAGAGAAAATATGCATCACGCATTGCACAAGATTACTAAAGGTAAAAGAGTTATCAGAAAGTTACTCACGGAGAGAAACTTCGGCAACAATTAAAATCCCCCCCACCCCCACAAAAAAAAAAAACTTGTGTAGCCCTAAAATTGTTTTTTTTAAAACATTGCCGGAGTCTTATTTTGAAGTCCTTTATTTTCTACTTTCCAATTTCAAATAAAAAAATATACCGCATTGAGCGGGTACTGGCTTATAGTGAGAACCCAGTCTATAGCTTTACTTACCATTAATCTGTCGAATGCCTTCTCTCCCATTACCTTAAAGTTCAATCAGAAGATCTCATTGGAAATAGCAGCTTTTATACCTTAGTGAAGTTTAGTCATAGTCATAGTCATTTGTGTTTACTCGGCCTAAAGACCGTACATAATAGAGTTCATCCCTAATCGGTATGTGAAATCCTTTATGAAGTAGAATGGGTCAGAGAATCAGGAATAAAACCATAGTAATGCTTAATTTTCTTAAACAAGAGTGCTTTATCACGAATCCATGCAATTCTACCATCTCATGTAATCCCTAAGGGCTCAAGGAGTGCTCTAGAGCTATTATTATTATTTTCCTCTTTTCATCAAAATTATCACTTTCACCTTCCCCATTTTGCATGCTTAAACCATTGCTAGGCCATCACCACACAGACCTTTCCTCCAACAAATTTCCTAATCATTTTCAGCGCATAATATGTGCTTTTTCAAGTGAGGAACTACAGAACATCTTTAGAAGCCCACTAGCTTATTTTCTTTAAATAAAACTAGCAAAATACAAGTCTAAAGCATCTAAAAATAAAAGTAAGGTAAATGAATGAGAAAGAAAATGTATATAATAAGTTGTAATATATAATCCAAACTCATCTTAAATGCATTAAAATAATAACCTCAAATCCCACAGGAGAGACCGCCCATTACACTGCAAATGACTCTCCCAGGATGGTTCTTCTGACTGCACCACAATGACCATATCGGAAAGCGTTTTGGCTTGATAATGCTTGTCAACTAACAAGGGATCACTGTGAATAAACCAAAAGATAGGCACTTCAAGGGTAGATCTGCTATGTGCATGTGAACCTGCAGTATGAAGGAAATCAAAGCACTATAATTTGCAAAACACAAGCCCTAACCAGCATAAAACCCAAAAGAAGAGAGGGGGGAGAAGATGGCAGACATGAATAAGCATTTAAAGGCTCCTGAACCATCATATAAAACAAATAACAAGATTATATAAGTGGCCTTAATCCTCATTTGTTTGCAGCTACTGAAGGTCTGATCAAGTCTTAATCCTTTAGATCTAAGTCAGCCATTATGTGTGTTTGTTTTTTAGATTTGAATCTTAATCAATAAGTGCATTTCTATTTTTTCTTCTACAACCACTTAATGGATCTGAATATAGTGAATAGTTGAGACCTATAATAAAATATTAATATCACTAAGATGCTATGCTTCAAGTAATTCTGTAAAGATGGCATTTCACCACTACTTCATCCA